TACATTTTTATATATATATCTATATATATATATTTATTTTTATATTTATATTGATTTTTAAATTTATATTTATACGTGTATATTTTTGTTGTTGTATATGTATATGTCCCTGTATATGTTCAAATATATAATAATGGAATACGTATAGATATGTACACATCTACGTATCTATATTTTCGCTGACGTCTACTACTTTACAATACCTACAACGCACTTATTCCCACTCACTCTCACTGACTCTCACTCATGTATATTCATCTTATTCAATTCCTAACCTGTAGGATTAGGCTCAACTTTGTTATGGGGGTGAGTCAGGCCATCCCTCATGCGGTAGTGAGCGAGTACTTTACCACGTACTGCAGTGCGTGTAAGTATCGTGTGTGCACCTCTACACACATTGGGGCTTTGATTCGTCAGGTATTTCCTGACCTAAGGGTGGGCTGGGTCGGCGAAGCGTACTGCTTCTTTGGATTAGAGGTGTGTATAGCCAATTTGTATTTTCTTGTGCTCAAGTGTATGTGTGCATGTGTATATGTGCGTGTATGTATTCATGCGTGTGCGCGTGTATATATGCGTGTATATACTCATGTACGTGTGCGTGTGTGATAGGTATGTGTGAACATGGCACGCACACCCAAACTTACTTCAACGCCAATATTTATCAGGTGTTTCCCACTAATAGTGTGAGCCTTGGGGGAAAAGCGTATCGCTTCTTTGAGTAGAGATGAATTGTGTATGTATGTTGGTATGTATGTGTATGTGCATATGTGTGTCTGTTTGGTATCTTAGTATATTTTGCATTTGTACATAAGTGTGTGTTTGAATGTGTATATATGGGTGTTTGAATGTGTACATATGCGTGTTTGTATATGTATATATATGTGGTTTATGCGTATATTTTTGTATGCGTACGTACATGCATGTTTTCATGTGTACATATGCGTATTTGAATATGTTTATGCGTGTGTGGTATCTGAGCATAATTTTGTATACGTATAATATGTGAGTTTGCATATGTAGATATGCGTGTGTGGTATCTGTGTATATTTTGTATGCGTACATATATGCGAGTTTATATGTTTATATATATATATATATATATATATATATATATATGTGTGTGTGTGTGTGTGTGTGTGTGTGTGTGTGTGTGTATGTATATGTATGTGTATGTGTATGTGTATATATGCATATATACATATATATATATATATATATATATATATTTATATATATATATATATATATATTTATATATATATATATATATATATATATATGTATATATATATACATGTATATAGGCTCACATACCGATACAGATACAGACACATATGTCTACCT